CTCAATTCAAGATGCTTTATTGGCATGACCAATGAGCAGATTCAGTGTTGCCAAAGCAAAACAAATACAATTAACATAAAACAAAAATCTACAGACATTAACAATAAAGACACAATCATAAGATACATAGAAACATATGGAACATTATTGAGAGACAATGTGATCTTCTGTCACTGTTCCTCAGGCTGTGACAGGAGATCACATACTGGGCTGCCAGTTCCATTGAGTTCCCTCCTCCCTCTCCCAGTAGGATTGGGACCCGTTCTGATTCTGGCAGGAGAGGGAACTCTGGGATTAGGTTTCTGAATATTGGGAAGAATGTTTCTCTAATCCCAGAGTATCTGTCACAGTGCAGTAGGAAGTGCATCTCTGTCTCTATTTCTCCCTGCTGGCAGTGGGAGCACAGCCTGTCCTCTCTGGGCAGCCAGGTCTGCCTGTGTCGCCCAGTTTCTATGGCCAGGCTGTGGACACTGAGCCTGTACTTCCTCAGGGTCTGTTTCTGTTTCTGTTTGCTATCATTTATCTTGGTTAAATATTCGGTGTGTATTGTCTATCTAGGGTTCTGTAGCATTCAAGTTTGTGTTGTGTGTGTGTGTGTCCCAGTGTGTGAGATATTGCTGTTTGATCTGTGCTGTGATGTGGTTGAGTCTGGGTTGTGGTGCTCTAGCAGTGCTGTCCTGAGGCTGGTTAGTATCGGTGTGGCTCAGGTCAGTGAGCCTCAGGACCAGCTGGCTCAGGGGGCTCTGTTTTGGGCTCAGCTCTTGGCTGAGCAGGGCTTTGTGGTGGTAGGAATTTTGGTCGCTGTTTTTTAGGTGTAGCCAATACTCTAATACTCTTTTCTGTATATTTATCAATAGTGGGTACTGGCCTAATTCAGCCCTGCACCCGTTGTTAGGAGTTTCTACATTTCTAGTTTCTATGGGGTGATTGTCCAATTTAGTGAAATTTAGTGTGAGGGGACCCCACACTTCACTGCCGTATAGGGCAATGGGTTGGATTACACTTATTGTGTAGAAAGCCACGAGTGTCTTCTCCCTCAGTGCCTTCACTGCCAGGTCAAATATTCCCTGATGAGCCGATAGTCAGACCAAGGGATGTGTAGCTGGTTGTGTGCTCCAATGTGTTGTTGTTGTGTGTGAAGTGGTACTTGTTTCTCTGAGGTCTGGATTTCTTCTGGAAAAGTATAAGTATAAGTATGGAAAACCATGACTCTGGTCTTGTCTAGATTGACTGTCAGTGCCCAGGTCTGACAGTCCTGCTCCAGCAG